GCTATATCATCAGTTTGTTCGTCGAGCTTGGTTGGCCTGATATTGTTGGTTTCCCCCCGTCGGGGTTTGCTGTGATATTCGTTCCTGGCGTCTACGCGATGCGATGCGATTGCGCTCCCTTATCTCCAACCTTCAACTGTCCGCCAATGCGATGACGCTGCCTGCCGCCGCCAACCACAGCCACAGACTTCCACCCACCCGCCACACCACCATACCATTCACCAGCCCCACTATGTGGGCCGAGAAAGCACAGACATTTCACACACGCTCCTAGATTTGCAAGCGTGCACAGGCCATTTTGGGAAGGGATATTTAATCTCGGCCACCCAGCCAGATTTTGATCGGTTTCTTCTTTTCTTTCCTCGCCCTTCGGGGCATTTGGTCAATTTGAAACGATACAGAGAAGATTAGCATGGCCCCTGCACTAAGGATGACACGCTACTCAAAGAGACGCTACCAATTTTTTCACTGTCCTCTTGGCGATCAGAAGCTGGGAGATGGGGAAGAGATGTTGATGGTTTTGGTGATGGTTGTTGGCGTTGGGAGATGGTTATCGTTTATTGGAGATGGATGCTATTTACTTTTGTTGGGCTTTTGGCAATGGATGACTGATGTATGATGTTGATGACGATTGATGGACGACTGGAAGAGCTCTTGCAGGAATGATTGTCGTTGTCAAACTTGAAGTCGCGTGTTCGATGCTGCTGGTGACCTGCAATAGCGTTCCGTCAATAACCTTGAATGTATGGTAGATGACAGGTCAAAGAGCCATTTTCCTATCTTCATGTCGTTGTACAATTACCTGATTACTTTCATTTCTGTGGTGTGTTACCGTCATCTAGATATCTATAAGGAAAATGACAGGACCGCCCGAACAAAAGCACCTGAACCCCATCCGGGTATCTCATCCTCGACTCCTTGCCATTCCCCAAGACTCCAAACACAGATTCTTAAGACCCCAACGGCATGCTATCAACCAAGCTCCTTTCCTGGAAAGATAACCCAAGCAGTCCATCCATTTCCAACCCTCCTCTCCTACTTTCCAAACGCACTCCTCAACACCGAATCATTCCCCACCTTGGACACCCTCCTGCTCGCCCCCTCAAGCACAATCTCCGACAGCTCATACCCCTCCTCATCGACATCCACCTCTGGAATCACCGGCGGACCCTCCTAGTCATCCTCCAGATCACCTTCAGCTCCCCTCCCCCTCCCACCAGCCTTATCCTTCCTAATATCAACCCACCCCATCCCCAAAGCCGTAAAAACCGCCACCCCTCCCGCCGCAGCAGCCATGTAAAACACCTTACCTATACTCCTCGACCAAGCCTCCAACACAACATCCAAATCCCCCTCTTTGACCACCTCCCTAAATCTCGTCGCGCCCGCTTGGAGGATCTCCCTGCTGTACGGAACTGCTTGGGATAGTTCATTTTGAAGGGTTTCCCCAAATATGGTGTTAGCTCCAGCAAGGAGGATGGAGATACCGAGGTTTTGGACAAAGACCAGGATGCACGTCCCCATTGCTATGTCCTGCGGCGGGAGGATGGCTTGGATTGCTAGGAGGGGCATCTGCATTCCCGCGCCGCGGCCGATGCCGCCGAGGATTTGGTAGAGGATGTACTGCACTGGAGGCGTGGTGGGGGAGAAGGTTGAGCAGAGACCGTTGGAGACGGCGCCGACGGAGGCGGAGAAGATGGTGTAGGGGATTACATAGCCCGTTTTTTGAACTGGTGAGGGGAGGGCGACGGTTAGCTTTGGGGAGTGGGGAGAAAGGGGAGGGAAGGGACTTACCAAGCGGACCGACGATGACGGCTAGGATGAGCTGGCTGACGATGCTGGCCATGACGTACACGCCTGACATGATGGGGGTTGCGCCGTGGACGGCTTGGAAGTATATTGGCAAAAAGAAACTCGCGACGTAGACGATGAAGAGGAGGAAGCAGTTTGTGATGGCGCTGGTCCAGACTTGTCGTTGGGTAACGAGGGAGAGTGGGACGAGGGCTACGTCGCCGAGGTACCAGTCCCAGATGAGGAAGACTATCGTCGTTGCGCCAGCTCCGGAGAAGAGGCCAATGATGATGGGGGAGTTCCATGGGTATTTGTCACCGCCCCATGACAGCGCTAGCATCAGCTGGACAGCTGCGGGTGCTAGCAGTGCGAATCCGAGGAGGTCGAGCTCGATGTAGATGCGACGAAGGACGTCCATAGCGCGCCGTTTCTGGAAGGCGTCTGGGATGTGGACAAAGGAGAGCGCAACGATGACGAGAGCGCCGATTGGGAGGTTGATATAGAAGCACCAGCGCCAGGAAACGTAAGAGGTAAAGGCTCCACCGACGAGGGGACCAGCAATGATGCCAAGCTGCGAGAAGCCCATCATGATTCCGGTGTATGTTGGCCGCCGACTCATGGGTACTGATGTTCCGAGGATGGTGAGAGCTCCGTTGATGAGGCCCGCCCCCCCGATCCCGGCGATAGCGCGACCAGTGATGAGCATCCAGGAGGCGACTGAGGCGCCGCAGATGGCAGAACCAATCTCGAAGATCGCGAAGAAGGTGATGAAGGTCCATTGGGTGCTGAACTTCTGGTAAATCTTGCCTGTGAGGGGTTGAAGGGCGGCGCTGGCGAGTTGGTAGATGGCGGCATACCATCCGACGTCTTCAAGGGATTTGAACTCATCCGTAATGCGAGGTATCTGTTTCCGACAGATTAGCGACCTGTATCTTGGAGAAAAGGGGCGCTTTGATAGCGGTACTCACTGCAGTGGCGAGGATGGAGGTATCAAGCATCATCAGAAAGACAACTACTGTGACAGAGGCCAGCAAGGCGGCCAGCTTGAATCCTTCGACATATTCGGGCTCGGTAGTCTTGGGCACGGTGAACTCATTCGAGGGACTTGGCTGACTTGAGGGGCCATCGCTTCTTGTCGCAGCTCTTGAAGGCCCGGGGAATCTATCGAGTTCTGGATCTGAAGGCAGACGGCGATGGGAAAGCGACCTTCTCTCCATCGCAATGGCGGCGATTCACACGAGCAGGAGTAGTAGGATGATGATGATGCTGTTGTTGTCAGTCGTCTTTACATGGAGGCTTACCAAGTTCGGGCAAAAATAAATTTGTCGTATTTGAAGCCAAGTCAAAAAAGTGCATCGAGAAAGTCGACTAGGTCGAAAGGGCAGTTGTTGTACTGAGGACTGTTAAGTAACAACTCAACCAGTCGCGTCTACAGAGACATAGATCCATATCACTCGCCGACGGAGGTGCCATTGCAACTACTGTAGGGTGGTAGGTCACCTGGGCTGGAGCAGGGCGGAATCGCCGTCATTTTCGGCCTTCAGTGTAAGGGCTGCAGCGCCAGTTGCTCCTTCCACTTTTGCTTAACGCGTGGGCCATGAGCTTCAACACGAAACTTCATCGCATGTAGCAACGTGCGTAGTGGCCGATCATTCAGCCCTACAACACCGCATGGAGTGCTTGTACGCATCCATGGATGACGCCTTTCCTTAGCAAGTAAGCGTGAGGGTCATCGCAACGACAAGCCAACCACGGAGAATCCACAGCACATTGGGTCTCTTTCGCTGATTCAAACCACACAGGAGCAACAGGACATACGGCGGCCGAATTTATCGCATCACATCAAGTATCTCATCCTACAACAACCTGGCAGCAATTCGGCCGGAACCAAGAGTGTCGTCAAAAGTGGAGATCAACAACACAAACCCTAACCCTGCCAATACCACTCCGTTCCGGGCGATCCGGAATGGAAGCTTCGGCTCCACAGGCATGTGGAGCGGAGTTCGGACAAATCGAGATTTCCCGACTTCCGAGCTCACCGGGCAAGTTTGCATCGAGATCCCATTCATTCAACATGGCCACGAATCCTCCTCCAATGCGCTCCGATACCACCCATTCCGGCTGCTGAATCCATTGTCACTCTTTTACTCTCCTTCTCTCAACGTTGCTAGTTTTCCTCGTTCAGATTGGCGCTCTCTCTCAACCGTGTGGGATATCGGAAACCGGTATTCCGGCCGGAAACCGTGCCCGTCTCCTTTCGGTTTGCGTGCCCCTTTTTGAGCAGCCAACGTCTTGAACGTTCAACCCTAACCCTTCCGAGAGTGTTCCTCCAACATCATGGAGACAGCATCGTCCTCCTCAACGACGACAACTAACGGCTCGGTCAATGGGATGCCGGCCCCGTACGGCAGGGCTTGCACAAACTGTGCGAGGGCGAAGTGCAGGTGTATCTACCGGACCGGCGGTGCCGACTGTGAGAGGTAGGCCAACACCGTTTTCACTCTAATAATGGCCGAGAGGACTTTCGGCCGAGTTGTGATGGCTCAACTGCCTCCTACTGTTTATTCAACGTCTTCTGTTTGTACTCTTTCAATCCTATAAGCATACGACCGTTGGACAGACAGGAACGGGATTGGTCACCTGCTCAAAACAGCCTGAAACCGCCGTGCCGGGACGGGTCAAGTCCCCACCTAGGTGTGCATGATGGTATGCGGTTGCCCGCATTTCCCCACGGCGCCTATCCCGTCCCAGGTTGGCGGCTCCGTGTCCCGGAGCACCGGGTCCGGGTTACAGGTCCGGACGAGGCTCAACTCCGCCGTTGGCTTCGGTGATCGTCGTTCCACTTGCAGTTCCCCATGGGGTCCCCTCTATTTCGTTGACACATTGCTCCATCCATTGCTTGGACGCTGACATGGAACCAGATGTCATCGGTTACGGAAAGAGTGCATCCCATCGGTCTCGGTCAGGAAGAGAAATGGCAAGCGTACCCATGTCTCCCGTGCCGCCCAGCTTGAGGCTAAGCTAGAGGACCTTGTATCTCTTCTCCGTCATCAGGCCGGACCGGGTGGCACGGCTCCTTCTCCGGGTGAGTCGTCTGTTGCTTCTAGCACACCGGCACCAAGTGCTCGTTCGGCGGCCAGTGTTGCGGGTGATCATTCATCACATCCGGTGCCAGTTGCTGTTTTGCCTCCCCAGCTACCAGATTGTCATCCGGCTCATGGAAAAGGCCGTCCAACGCCTGTCACTCGCGGTACTCTCCTTGGCAGCGTATTTGAGCCTCAGGATGTGGGACCGCGCTCACCAACCCCCCCGCCGGTCGAGCCGCCAGCCATCCCGTATTGCACCTATCAGCCAAGTCCATTCGAGGCTGCTGATGGACTGGTGACGTTCAGAAAGTATATGTTGATCTTCCTCCCATTTGTATACCTGCCATCCAACATGACGGAGGAACGGCTTCGAAAAACATATCCCTTTTTGTGGTTCAGCATCATGACTGTCACCTCCAAGAACGTGGATCGACGTCTTGTGATGAGCGAGTCAATCAAGAAGTTCATTGCCCAGAAGATGGTCATGGAACATGAGAAGAGCTTAGACCTTCTTTTTGGCCTCTTGGTCATCATGGGCTGGTGAGATTGTTGTCTGTCTGACCTGACTGGGCAAGGTGCTGACCCAGATGCAGGACTCATTATCACATAAAGCGGGAAAAACCCATCCTTTCACTTCTGGCATCGCTCGCAAAATCATTAGTATTTGATCTTGGCTTGAACAAAGTTCCTAGTGAGCCGTACATTTCAGCGTGTTTGAAGACAGCCTTCCACCCTCCACCAAGAGAAAAGACGATGGAGGAACGACGAGCCGTGCTGGCGTGTTTCCTGCTCACATCTCAGATATCTCATTCCCTAAAGAGGCTGGACGCCCTAACCTGGACGTCTCACATGGAAGAAAGCTTACAGTTCCTTACCCAGCGGCACGAGTGGGAAGGGGACGATCTTTTGGTTGCTCAGGTCAAGATTCAACTCATCGTCGAGCAGCTCAACAGGGCCACATCACAGTCAAGAGACAATGCGCCACCTTCGTACTATCTTTCGGCCCTCCACACTCAGCTTACCAACATCAAGACCCAGCTCCCCAGTCATTTGCAACAAAACGGTACAGTCTACCCCCCTCGTCTCTCTCTTCATTTAGGACTGCAAATGCTAATAATACCATGGCAGACACAATCCTCAGCCACATCTCCTACACCGAGCTCGCCATCCACGAAGCCGCCGTTGCCAAGCCCCGTATCTCCCCAACCACCACCGTCCCCGACCTCCAGCGCTACGCCGCCATGGAGGCCTGCCTCAACGCCATCAAAGACTGGTTCGACCGCCACTTCTCCATCCCGTCATACGTCTACATCGGCATGACGTTCAGCTACTGGTGCCACATGGCCCACTGCCTCCTCTCCCTCTACCGGCTCTCCGTCCTCGACGACCCCGCCTGGGACCGCCGCGCCGTCCGCAACAAGCTCGATCTGCTACGGATCTGCGACCAGCTCAAGCTAGGCTTTGAGGAGCTCTCCGCCAAAAGAAGGCTAGACTCGGGCCCGACGATCGAGGAGGATGGGTTCACCAAGTTTAACATGATGCTGCGGACAATGAAGAGCGGGTGGGTGGCGGAGCTGGCGGCGATTGACGGGGTGGATCTGAACGGCGGGGGGCATCATTCGAGCTCGGTGGAACAGTACCTGGATGCGGGGAACGCGAATGAGCTGAACTTGCCGTTGTTTCATGCCGAGGATCCGGAGGCGTGGATGGCGGGGTTGTTCGATATGAATTGGGATCCTTGAGCTTGTTCGGCAGCATCGCATTGACATCACCGGACAACTGATCACGGCAACTTGAACGAGGACAACTTTTATTTACGCGACTGTTCTGTTGTTACAAAGGTTCTATACAGGGTTTCTCCTTAGGGGAGAGAGAGGGGGTGAGGTCAGAGCCACGGCTGTGGGCATTGCTGGTACTGGTGGTGGTGGTGCTGCCCATTCTTGCCTTGCTTCCCCTTCATACTGCGGCTGTGAGGCGCTGAAACTCATCGCTCTCGACTTGATGCCCCCGGGTATCATGAAGTTGGGTAGATTCGGGCTCGCAACATTTTCTGGGCCCTGTGGTGGTCGGGATGGCTGTGATGGGTGCGGCGGATAATACGGTGATGCCTGTGAGGCCATACCGAGCGACTGCCGGTGGGGCGTCAGGGGCGACACCGGGAGGATCGGGTGCCCTGGGGAAGGATAAGCTGTGAAGGCGCTTACTGGGCGGTAGGGCACGCCGTGTGCGCCGAGGTCACCGCCTTGAGAGGAGGGGATGTACTGCTGCTGCTGCTGTTGGTAGTATCCCTGATTCGGGGCATAAGCAAACTGCTGCTGGGGTTGGCCGGGTGAAGTCTGGGCAAAGGCAATGTGCTGCTGCTGCTGCTGCTGCTGCTCTTGACCCGGCGATCCTACCATCGCAAACTTCTGTTGTTCTTGTGTTGGTAGGGGGGGTAGGTAAGCCCCATACTGCTGCTGCCCTTCCCGTTGGTACCCCCAATACTGCCCCTGCCCCTGCCCCCCCGGACTCCCACCCACCGCTACACCAACCTGCGACGGAGAGAAACTCGACTGCCTCCTCGCGCCCGCGGCAGCGAATGCGTACTCGTCTTTGTGAAAGAAGGGGTCATCGTTTGTGGCAGAACCGTTCCTACTGCTGAGATCACCTGGAAGGGTCGGTTCAGGGTATTGCTGCGGCTTGGTATTGTCAACCATGTTCATCGTGTCAGGGTAATCAGCCGTGACGACTGCACCGCGGATCCCGCCTTTTTTCTTGCGCCAGAGGAGGAAGATGATGAGGGCGATGAGAGCGACGGCTGCGACTGCCCCGGCTGCTATCCCGGCTGCTGTGCCGGGGGATAGACCGCTTCCCTCTTCTGAAGGGGGAAGGGGTGATTCGGTTGCGGAGGGGGAGGCGCTGGCGGCGGGGGAGGTGGTTTCTGTTGCGCTGAGTGTTGTTGAGGTTTCTACCGCGCTGGTGGTTGTTTGAGTGTCATCGGTTTTTGTCGTATCGTCATCTTCGGTTGTGGAGGAAGGGGATGGGGTTCGGGAGGACAGGCGGGTGGTGATGGTGGTGCGGGCTGTTATTATTGTCGTTCTTCGCGGGGGTTCTGGTTCTTGGTCTTGTCGGGGAGACAGGTGGTGGATGGGTTCGTGGGGGAGGTTGCTTGGTGGGATAGCGGGCTGGGGTTGTTAGTTGATGAATGCCATGAGCGTCGGATCACACGAAGACTTACATCCACCGCCCTCCCCCTCACCACCGTCGCTACTACATCAACTCGTGCTATCACGCCCACAGTAACTGAGAGTAGCAATCGACCGGTCTTCATTTGCTGCCTGCTGCGACTGCGGTTGCTTTTCGATGGAGATCCTCAGTTATGTTGCATTCTTTCCCGGAAGTGTGTTGTATATCGCTTGCTAGCTGCTCCCGTCGTCAAACTGTTCGTCAAGAGTGAGAAAGCAAAGAGAGGGGGACAAGAACACCCATGTGAACACGGGTTCGGACTTGGGGGGGCCATGTATCACTTATAAAAGGTGGCTTTGTATACAAATCTTGGAAATCCTTCCCGTCCCCGTGTGGATGGATGTTTTGGGTTATTATGCGAACTTTTGGTCTGGTATCAGATGTGAGGTTGTCGGGTTTGGCCACCGAAGGAGGCGGGCTCCTTGGAGCAATGGGATTTTTCGGCGTCAGCTTTCTGTTAAGCTTACATTTGATCCTGGTCTTGGGAATAGGCAAGGGGGAACGGACATGTACAGTAGATCTCGTCACTCAAAACAAGCTGTGGTCAATTTGCGGTCGTCGTCTGGGCGGGCTGGAAGGAAAAACAGAATGGTTTTGTGGAGTCCGAGAAAGCGACCAATGGGAAATTTCCGAGGGAGAGAAGCAAACATTGATGTTGCTGGTGGTGGTGGACTTTGCAGGACCAACTCAACTCCTTGGTCGAAGGGACGGGTGGTTTGTTGTTGGTTTGGGGGCCGGGCTTGGACCGTGCCCGGCCGGTCGGGTCGGTCGGTGGTGGGGCCGGATGTGAGATGTGAGGGGTTGTTGGTGCTCGCTTTTAGTGCGTCATTGGGAAAGATGAAAAGTTTGAGATCTCTCGCGCGATTGGACTGTCGAGTATAAATATGGGAAAATGTTTGCATTTGTGGGATGTTGGAAGGCGAGAAGGAGAGGTGGGTGGAGGATGTGAGCAGTGTCACACATAACCCTAACTGCAAACTGGAGCTAATGTACACTTCACGGGAGGGCAGAAAATGGGGAAAATGGTTTCCACAAAGTTATTCACTTCTAAGACAAAGCGTGTCAAAAGGAAAGTAGTTGTGTTATTCTCATGATTGTGTCCCCATCATAACCCTAACCGACTAACAGACCGACCGACCCAAGATATCCTATGCCATGCTGGCAACAAAGTGTGTTGATTGAAGAGAGTGTGAAAAAAGGGGTATCGTGCAAAATTTGTGTTGTGTATGTGTGTGTGTGTTGTGTGAGTGAGGGAATAACTTATTTGCATCCAGAGCAGGAGCCTATAGGTGAGTTGTTAATAATGTGAAAGACAGGAGAGGAGAGGTCGTTCGTGATGGAGTGGTGTGACATACAGTCAGAGCCGCAAGAGCAGCTAGAGGCGGAGCCGGAGCAGTTGCAAGAGCCACCCATTTTGATAGTTGTTTGGGGTTTGTTGGTTAAGAGTTGATTGTTGGTTTTGTATTGATGAGTGTGAGAGGATTGGAAGCTGATGATGGAATAAGAGGGAGAGATGAGGGGAGATCAAGCGGGTATTTATACACCGAGATCTGGCGGATTGGGGGACAAGAGAAATAGGCAGGCACGCAGGCAACACAGCAGATACGATGGCAAAAAAAAAAACCGGATGCCACCTAATGCGTGGTTTGTGCCGGTTCTGCGGATCATGGCGTGCGTCTTTTGTGCGGGATGCAGCTGTTTGGGGAGCGCTAGAGACGTGGTCCACCCCCTTGGCAACCTAGATTTGTTGGTGACCAGACCACCAGGCGTCAGATGGGCAGAGTGCTATTGGATGACCATGACAAATTGGAACGGGAATTGATTAAGGCAAAAAAGATAGGTAGATACTGAGAATGGAATGTTGAGGCGAGCTCTGGCGTTGGACGTTGGCGTTGAGGTCACCGTCTAACTGTTAGAGATTGCTGTGTGATATGGTCGCTCGCCCTAACAGCGGGGTACGGCAGATCACAATGTTCCTGGGGCAGACTACAACGCTTGTCTTCCGAACGGGTTATTTACCGATTCCAAACTAGCACCGGGACTGGGTGAACAAATAGCGAACCATTACAAGACCCTGACAATGAAAGATTCTAGGCTTTCTCAACCTCTCACGCGTGAACCCTTTGACGTACACTTGTAAGTTGAAAGTGCGGGGTCACTGTGCCACGGTCCACCAGGGCCGATCAGCTGCGTCATCCCCCACCAAAAGTGACCCTGTCTGCGATATTTGTGCGTGAACTTCATCCAGTCAACGCCAGTCATCCCACCGCTAGTGTATCTGTGGTGAGTAGCCAAAGGAGATGGTGATTCAGCTGATCGAGCGTTTTTAAGAGGTTTCCGCGGGGTCACGGCCTTACGCGCGCCAATCATTCACTCATTCACGGCGGCGAACGCCGTCATGGTTCGGGTCCCCCCACGACGCTGTGGTACGTGCGGGAGGTCCACAATGCCGCAAACCGCCGGGGGTGGGTCGTCCGTTCCGATTCGGTCGCCACCGGTTTCCATTCGTCATGGTTCCGGCACCTTTCGGGGTCGGAATGTTAAACTGATGGCCGTTCATGCCGCGGCACACGAACTGTCATTGGACCCAAGTCAGGAAGGCCGAGCGCCGTGTCGGATCCATGGCCATGTCACAGATCCATCTGATTTTCGAGGTGGTCAAGGCGCCCCAAAACTTCAAATGGCACCAGAAGAGACGCTGACGAGTAAATAGATTCAGTGCAGCTATAGAAGCTATTCCAAAATGGCGGTTCCTTCAAATCTGGTTTAAAGAGACAACCAGAATCACCACAGTCACTGCTGGTGAGTGTCATTTCCAGGCACAGGAGTTCTTGCATCGTACGTTTGCTCGTGCTTCCAGGGGTGTTGAAACTGCCCCTGAATCGCTTCAAGCTCCCATCGAACGATATGCTTCTGCCACATTGCCATCGCCCAGTGAGCCATCAAGCTCATCCTGAAGCCCCCAATCATAAATAACAGCAACTATCTACTATTTCCGTCTTTTCATGTTTGAATCACATCACTCAATTTCCACATTAAATCTTCCATTGCCGTGAACATGTCTACAATCCCGCGCAGATCAAACTCTACCAATCCCCGTCCAGGGAGCTCTGCCTTCCCCAGAGTCCCCAGGAGCAAGCTTGCGCCCCAACCATTAGACCTCAAGCGTTCAAACACTACAGCTGGAACCCAGTCATCTCAACCTCAACAGGAACAGACGTCAAGGTCAACCCCCTACTCGTCATCAGCCAGGGAACGCATCGACCCCAGAGCACCCCTCTCACCCATTCCATCCTCCGCCGGCTCCCGCTCAACACCGTACTCCTCCAACCTAAAAGAGCGAACCGACCTCCGCTCTTCCGCAGCCCCCCGACCTCTCCAAACAGCCCAATCCCTCAACCGAAGGCCCTCTAACGCCACAGAAACCACCACAGGCCATAGGCGACGTCCCTCTCTAGGAGGGGAGTCGATCGGCCAATTTGCCTCCAGCCGGCGCCCTTCAGCACCAGACGGGCACAACCGGCGCTCTTCCGCTTCTCAACAACAGCAGTCCAGTAACACCCCCCCACGGAGACCCTCGGCACCAACCCATACCCGTCGCCCCTCTGGACCAACCTACCAGCCCCAACCACAACGGCACAATCTTCGTCCTTCAGCACAGCAACAAAATCATGGGCGGAGGGATGGCGGTGGAGGAGGGGTAGGGGGGAGACCGCCGATAACCCAGCAGGTGGATCAGGCGACAAAGACGCAGATTAACCAGACTTATGCGGTTACTATGATGGCTAGTCCGTATAACCCTTTGCCGTTCTTTTTGCCGATTCCTTTGGGGATTGCGATGCTTTTGACGCCGAGCGGGAAGGATGTGAGGGGGGCGGGGCCGGCGCCGATGAGAGCTGGGACTGTGGGTGGGAGGCGGTGATTACCTCTCTAGGGGTATTCCGGACATTCCATGGGGAAGTTTCTGAGTGGATAGGGAGTTGTGCTCCGGACAGACGAAGTCCTGACAAGTCCGGGCTTATTCTGGTTGTCAGATGGAATTCGGAGGAGGGTGGATTGGGAGGGAGCCAAGGGAAGCCAAGGTCTTCTTGGTGTCTATGAGACTCGAGTCTTTAGAGGACAGCAGCTGGGCATTATGTAATTTAGGAGGCATTTGGATCATTGTGTAGACGGCCCTGCGACTATCGGGGCTGTAACTGGCCCTCCATATTATGTCTGCATTTACAGATAGTTAGAAGAAACAGGCACTCTGGGAACCTCTATTTTTACCTCTCCCTCATGCTAGTCTCGGACCTTTCCTCCCGTCGATTGCGGCCATGATCGTGAATCTTACCGCCATGTGCCGTCCACATTCCAGCCTTTGTCCGTTCAACCCAGGAACCAAATTCCACCGTCTCTACAACCCGACGAAAACCTAAGACATGATCATTTTATTCTCCGTTCCAATCATGTCAACCCTCTCTCTTCAAAACAACGAAGTCCCTTTTACAATGGTATAAATCCACCCTCTCGTCGATCATTCCCTTCCTCTCACCTTCTCACCCCGTACACCACTCTCTCTCTTCACCGTACTGTCCTGCCCAAAATGCAACTCCTCTCCCTCCTAGCCCTCGGACTCTCCACAACCCCTTGCCTCGCCGCCGTCGCCGCCCCGGCCGAAGCAGCCCGCCTCCCGGCCTCAGAAGTCATCCGCAACCTCGAGCTCCTCACCCGCTCCACCCGGGACCTCATCCCGGCTGCCCGTGACCTCTCCACTCGCGCCGCCGTTCAGTTCAGGGGTATGTTACCCAGTCTTTTCCCTTTTCCCTTAGCCCTTACTAACCTCCCTCAAAGACAACGAACGCGGCCCCTTCGCAACCGTAGTCGACGGCCTCGAAGACCTCGCCTCCACCGCCACCTCGGACCGCAACTCCATCATCGACGAGGACCGCCGCGGCCGCGAGCCAACGTACATCGGCCGTGACGCCCGCAATATCGACAAGGCTATCAGCGATCTGTTTGACCGGGCCAAAGAGCTGAGTGAGCGTATTGGCGATGAGAGTAGATTTGGACGGTTGTTCTCCAACGTTGGGAGCAAGGTGGGACGGGGGTTGGAGAGGTGGGGGGATGCGGTTTATGAAGTGAGTAGTAGCTTCTTGAGGGACAGTTGGGGGTGTTTGGATATTTGCTGACGCTATGGGGGTAGTTGGCCAAGACGATTGATGACCGCGTTGATGGTGGGCTCGAGACGGGGACTTGGAGGGAGGTGTTGAGGGTTACGGGGACGATTGACAAGGTTGTTAATGATTATACTAGTGGACGGGTGAGGTTGAGCAGCATCCTTAGGGATATTGGACGGCCGGGGGATAGGGCTGGGGGGATTAGCATTGATTTGGGGTTGAGGCCTATTGGGTTGAGGCTTGGTGCTGGGAGGGTTTAAAGGGGGGGTAGTTGTTGGGGAGATAGGTAGGAGGGATGGTAACAAGGGGTAAGGTAGGATAGTTTGAAGCAAAACTTGTACTGTTTTTTTTTGTCCTTTTTAATAGTATCCACGAGTTACAGAACCAACAATGATACACCCAAGAAGATTGATGGCGAAACACTACAACATCACAAACCTCGCCCCATCCTCACTCCCCATCTCAGACTCACACAAATCAATCGCAAATTTCAACCCACCCACACTCACCGTGCAATCCCTCTCCAGCTTCTCCAATATCGCCCTCTTCGGATTACTCTTCAACTCCTTCTCCCTCTTCTCCCTCGCTTGACCAACCTCTTCGGTCGGACACCACAACCTAAGGTCTACAGATTTCCTTCTCCGGCTGCCTCCACGCGTCTCACCAGAAGACGGCCACTTCCCCAGCGTAGGACTAATCTCCATCTCGGCCTCCGGGACCGGACTTCCAGCGGTGGACTTACTGGCCTCCAAGAACTCTTCCACGAGGTAGGTCTTCCCTGCATTTGGAAAAGGTGGGAGACGTGGCCCCCACTGGTCCTCGTCAACCCAGTCCTCGTCAGGGAGCACCACCGCCGCGGATAGGAATTTGCTTTCTTTTGGCAACTTGTACTTTTTTCTCTTGAGAGCGGAGTCCAAGGCGCAGCGGAGATTCCCTGCCTTTCGCCTGCGGATGTAGCCGCTCGTGTGGATCAGGGCGGTTTCGCTGGCGATGTAGCGCGAGACGCGGAGAATGAAGATGGATACGTCGTTGTCGGGGGCGTTTTTGAAGAATCCATCACGGCGGACGATGGCGCGCTCCCTGTTACATGACACAGAGTTAGTAGAAACTGGTGAAGAATTGCAAAGGTGCCTTTCAGGTTACAACTTACCGATCGTACGAGTCAAGTTCGTAATCACCTCCCACCAAGGGGAAGTACTGTAACTGGTCCTCCTTTTTCTTTCCGCCAATGGCTCGCTTCTTGGTGGCTGGGGCAGCAGTAGTGGGAGCTACTTTGCGCTTTGCTGCCCTGGAGGGTTGGACTCGCGTTGGGGCTTGAACTTTATCTTTGCTCGAGCGTGGAGGTAGCAGACAGTCTACGCCGTCTGGTTCTGAGAGACCGCAATAGACTCTTGTCCCGGGATTTTCTTCGCGCGTCTGGTGCCACGTTCGCCCGTCAGCATTACTGCGCTACTCGCAAGATGTGATTCAACAATTGGTACAATACCCTCTTGTGGTCTTCCAGCAAGAGGACACGGTCGATCTCCGCCTTGTACCAGGCCTTGACTCGGTTGTAGAACTCGTCTCGTGAGTATACCTCGCCCTTCTTAAGGGCGAGCAAGTCGTGCTTCACGTCATTTATACCGCCAGTGTGGTACTTGAGAGGCGAGTTCGTGGTGTTGCCCGACTCTTCGACCTCACTGGCAACCTTGGCGAAATTCCATGTTGGCGTGGGAAGAGGCGTCGTTTTTCTTCCTGCTCCTTTAGGACCCATCGTGTGATGCTGAAAAAGGTTCGTTGGACTTTTTGAACTATCACGAGGGAGAGACTGGTGGGAAACAGATACCAGCAAGCTTACAGTATGTTCAAAAACGCAAAGGATGACCTGAAGTCTGAGTCCAGCTGTTTTGTTTCTTGAGGTCAGAGTCAGAATCACCACAATGAAAAATCGGGGGTTCACAAGTCCCCCAGGGTTGACAAAGTCTCTCTGCCCAGAGCAAACAAAGAAACATAACGCGGCAGGTGTCTTTATGCTACTTAGGTAGCCAGCCACAACACTAACACTGTTGCAAGTCTGAACAAAAGGAGGGCAAACTTCATTGTTCTCTCGTCTTCAAGATTCAAAATCAAGTCCCCGAGGCTGACACAACTTTGAGGAGGACCTTTGGTTCAGGGGTAAAAAGGGGTAACCACAACATTGACAAGAGCATCTCATCGCCAAGTATCATTGAAGCGCATCCATTCTCGCTGAGACGGCAGTAGACGACGTTTGCTCTTTCTGCATCTGAGTTGGATCTGTGAGACGTTGTGGCAGTCGCCTCGTGCCCAAGTCAATCAAATACTAGCATCTTTGGACTCAATGTCGTGAATAACCCACCGTGCTCACAATAACTCATACATACTGCCTTTCCGAATCTGCACATCATACCAAAAAGCTGCTTTGTTGTTGATGTGACATTAGCTCTTGAAGTCAACAGTGCTAACTTTGTTTCCGCGCTCTTTTGTTGAATCGTCCATACCGTCCCTAAATAGCTATTGGTACATGTAATGATGAGCCATGATCAAACTGCAGGGGTGTATTAAATCGACATTCGACACCCCTCTCGCTGCCTAGGTACACAACTCCATGGGTGCCTAGACGATCGGAATCAGCACTAAACACCGACGGCTAACATGAATGCCAGCCAACACTGTCACATGTGCTACTATAGCCGGGTTATGGGTTCCGCATGTCACACCGTCTATTACTACAAGGGTCAGCAATCACACCATCTAGCTCTTATCTTGCCAATTCCCAAACAGTCTTTTTTTTTCTTGCTTTTAACCCCCTTAAGTCACCATCATCCGACTGCGTCAGACTCGGACGAGAGAGCCGAATCGATCTGCCCTTCAGCCGCCGAAGTCTGCATTCATCTCAAAGGACCACAGTCAACCCGCGCCCTGTAGTAGGGTAGATGTAGAAACTGTGCTCCCCCGATATAATTGCGTATAATATCGAGGGCGTACTCTCGGGCCGCCGCCGCTGATGAGTTGCCAGTACAGTCACAACAGAAACCAATCAAAGAAGGGGGCGACGATCCGGCGTATATCGTGTTTCCGTCATGTTGCATTGCATATCATCACATAAACCATATCCTATCAGGGACATTGCACAAGACCAAGGCTCTTCTCCGTGACAGCTGTTGACGCACTCTGCCTCGTGCCCGATACCAGTGTCGCTATGCATCGGACTTATGACCTCCACATTCAATAGTTGATGCAGTGCTTTACGACCAAGACCGCCCAGAGTGTAGAAAGACAGCCAGGCCCGTTCCTTCTGCAGCAGGTTACAGATGAAAGTGGGTGGTTGGTTGGACGGGTGGGTAACACGGCATGTAAATCCATCCGTCTCCTAACGTCTTGGCTAGGACCTGAACTCAGGACCCAAACTCGGACTGGGATGGATTTGGACCTACACGGAGTTCTGGCTGGAACCTTGTGGACGTCTCGTGGAACCACTCTGTGAGAAACAGGGACCTATGAAGCCACTATGCACGTAAACACACATCCTGTGCGTGTGCGAATGAGTCCGCTCGTGTACTCTATCTGTGACAACTGCGGCGCAGCCTGTGCTACCTGAAATGTCGAGGGGCAATCACTCTGTACACAAATTTCGATTTGACCAAAGACAACACGACATCGGACGAGGTACAACAAAGGGCAGAGATTGATTGTCGAGAATGAAACTAGAAACAGCATCGAGACGGGCGTAGGAATGTAGCATGCCATCACATGCGAAACAAGAGCAAAACAAAGCGCCCATCACCACATAAGCACCAAGTCGTCCAGGCAGGAATAAGAAAAAGAGAAAAGTCCGAGTTATCATCCACCTTTACTCCATATGGGAAGGGTAAGATGCCCCCCCCACCCCCCCACCAGAGTCCACAAAAGGAAGCGCGTACTCCGTACACTCCACCATCTATCTAGGCCCGGAAGCTGACATCCTGAGGTGATGCCATGCTGCAACAAACCCTTGGCCACGTAGAATGCGCCGCACACCTTCTCCTTCTCCGATTTCTCGGTCTCGCATAATCCCTCCCCAATCGACCTATCAAGACTCCAGCAAGTGACACTAGATTGCCCCATTCTTTTTTTGATCTCTAATGCTGCCGGCATGTATACCTGGAAGCAGTGCCACACACCGACAGCACCGCCGAGTGGAAAAAACTTACCGCGATCGCATTATCATTGCGGCAATGCGTATATCCCAATCCAGCCATAAGAAGAACATTTGATGATGATTGTGGCCGCCTTGCAGGAGACCCCTACCACAGGGGGGTCGTGTGCCCCGTGGGGGGGCGTATTCTCGCACGTCAGGCTGTAGAAAGTTTGCCCCGGATGGGTACAGATTGGATTGAACAATCTGTATGTCTTTTACGTGTCTATAATCCCGATACCACGCAGCCAATGTCCATCGAGCCAAGTAAGATGACCGATCATGACTGATCCCCATATCAGCAATGATCAGAATCATGCCAATTGCTTACAACCAAACCCGCAACACTACCTATACACACATGAATCACGATATGACCCCATCCAGTCCCGTATTCTGGAAAAGATGACGCTATTCCCAATCACTTCAACCCCAGTTCGGGAATAACACCCGAAACATGGGAACTGCAAGAAACGTGTGCAAGCCTCCAGTCCTTGTCACCCTAGCTCACCGTCAAGGTTGCATGTGTTAATTTCCGGAAAGAGAAGGATCGCGAGCCAAAATGCATCGTCCATGTTCATGTTCGCCAGTTCGGACCCCGGCTTCGGCTGGCTTGCAACTCCCACCACTCAAGAAGAACAATTCATGATTTTTAAATATCGCCAAGCAAACCCCATTCGGTTGTCGGCATCCAACTGGGGGGGGGGTCAAGCTCTGCTGCTCTAGCTACACGATGGTAACCCAGACTGTACAACGGATCGTACACATGGGCTTTTGATAATTTCTTGGGTCATATTGCCACATGGTGACCTTGTCCAGATAGATATGAGATTGCCGCACTGTGTGCGTGCTGTCAATTTGAACAAGATCGCAATGACCCAACGGCTGGAGAGCTGGAAAAAGAATCTATCGAATACCAAGACCAATGCCTTTGACTCCGCGGCCCCCAAATTCAGTTAGACAACATCCCAACGTTTCAATCCTCAGCCCACGTCCTCCCTCCTTCCACAAGTTCAGCGCCGCCAGTCTGGGTAGACATGGATGCGGGTGGTTGGTGTGGATGACACCAAGGTCTTGGCTAGCAGC